GTTTGAGAGAGGCGGGGCATAGAGGACCTACAATAATGTACAGTATTTGAAAAATAATGTGTTTTTTGAACATTAAAGCATGTCAACATATTCTGTTACACCAAATACACAAAATAATGATCTTTAAAATAGCATCATATGACCCCTTTAAATTGCACATCTTGAGATGTCAGTGTATGATATAATGCAGATTAATTCAGCAAACGATTCATTGGTGTGTTTGTTTGGTTTCAGGTGAACGGCCCTTTAAGTGTCCGCTGTGTGACAAAGCGTTCAATCAGAAAAGTGCTCTGCAGGTGCACAGGGTCAAACACACAGGCGAGAAGCCCTACAGATGTGAAGTGTGCACTATTAGCTTCACTCAAAAGAGCAACATGAAGCTGCATATGAAGAGATCTCATGGTTATCTGCCGTCCTCCAACAAACTGATTGGTATGTGTGGAGCATCTTCAGTTCTGTCAGTTCCTCATCAGCTTATGTTTACTGATCAGAATGCTTTTAAGATCATGAGAAACAAATAGTTTTTTAAAAAGTCAGTGTCACTATTATTTTCTAATACATTGCCTTGTGGATTGCCACTGGATGACTTCTAAGCTGTCTTGGGTTTAGGAACTACTTTTACCATTAAAATGCTCTATAGATTACTCTGAAGTTTAAGAGCAACTAGGAATTTTACTCCTAATTTTAGAGTAAGGACCTACTTTTAGATTTTTTTTTTTTTTTTGTTAATACAAGCCCTGGAACAATGTCTTAGGCCTGCACAGTTGGATCATGCAGGGAGAAAATGATCTGATACATACAGATAAGTCTACCACAGAATAGCTAAAAACATGAAAATTGACGTTTTTAAATGCTGTGGCAGGACCAGGAATGCTGCTAAGCGAAAAGACATTTTCACAGCACTGTACACTAATATTTCTTTTTCTTCTAATTGGTTTTGTCTGTATTTTTAACTGCCAACATTTTAACCATTTATAATATCAGCAAAAACTGACTCGTTCTGTCAACCTTTTCTTAATTTGTTCACAGCAAAACCACAGGAAGTAGAAGTGGTGTTGGAACACGATTCTGAGTCAGATTCCCAGCAGGCACCGTCACAGGAGGGCAAAGAGACTCAGTCAGACCTGGATCTGGAGGAGGTGGTGCAGGAGTCTTCAGAAGACTGGCAGTGTCCCATCCCCACAGTCTTCCCATGAACACCTGACAGCAGCACACATTCAGCTCGATTTGATTTCAGTAACATTTGCATAATTTGATATTAGCAATGCCAATTACTATCTTTTTATTCTTGCCAGCAAGTGTGACTTACATTGCACAAATCACACATTTCTTTAAGTGAATGTACATGATTTTGTATACTTCTTGTTACATTAGAAAACCAGTCAAAGACAGAACTTGCTGTTGTGTTTGAAAGTTGCATTTTTTAAAGGTTTTTTTTTCTTTCTTTTTTTTTTGTATTGCTATTTTTAATTTGGAGCCATATTTGTCACTACTAAAGTAAAGATTGTAATTGTGTATTGGAATGGACATTCTGTAGTTTTCAGTTGTATCCTTACCTGTGGTAAAACTAAAACACCTATTTAGCACAGACAACACTGTCTGACATTGTCAGTATGTCAAAAGACTGTATAATTACATCTAATATACTAGAGCTGTAGAGCGGTTTATTTGATTTAATCCTCGATATATCATATAAATCAGTTTTATAGGAACAATCCAATTTTGGCAAACATTTTTGTAATATGCAAAAATATTTAAGAATAAATGTAGTTTTTTTTTTTCCAATGTTTATCCTTTTTTCACTTTCATTCACTTATTATTTTTGTTTTTCTGCAGCTTTATTCTAGGCTTTTAATCTGTTCATATGAATGTATAGGTTTTATATATGGGTTTATTTTTGGATTAAGTGGGACAGCATGGAGTCGTTTATAATTAAACTAAATGAAATCTGAAACACTGAATACACACACTGAATACATATTTTGGTATTTGTTGTTGATTTTATATGTGCACTTATAGTAGCTCTGCGTGGAGCGAATATGCATGACAATTAAGTCTTGCATGAACCTAAATGGATTCAAAATTTAATGTCCTGTTGATCAGTGAGTGGTGACAATTTTTTCAAGCACTGCATCAATACTTCTGCAGTGTTTATCAAGCAGTTATTGAGTAATGGTACAAAAAGAAGGCGGCTACTGTAGACATCCTTTAGAACCAAATAAATATAAACAAAACATGTTCACTACTATAGAATTGTTGCATAAGCATTTTAAATTATTTAATTATTAAATTATATTGGTACCTTGTTACCAATAGCAAGTCCCAAGTGTGAGGTACAAAGCACCATACACTCTAAAAAATGCTGGGTTAAATATAACCCAGCGCTGGGTTAAAAAGGGACAGACCCAGCTATTGGGTTGTTTTGACCCAGCGGTTGGGTTCAAAACATCTCAACCGCTGGGTCAAAACAACCCAATAGCTGGGTTTGTCCATTTTTAACCCAGCATTTTTTAGAGTGTATGACTAACATGGCAACTATGTAAAATCCTAACGTAAAATTAATTTATACTGAACTAAAACAACAAACCCAGCCTCCTCGATTAAGTCCACTACATGCCGTAAGTGGATTCCTACTTGCGTCTCATTTTGTAACATTTGCTAAACTGATTTTAAATAGCAAAAATGCTAAATACATTCTAAAAAATGCTGGGTTAAATATAACCCAGCGCTGGGTTAAAAAGGGACAAACCCAGCGGGACAGACCCAGGTATTGGGTTGTTTTGACCCAGCGGTTGGGTTCAAAACATCTCAACCGCTGGGTCAAAACAACCCAATAGCTGGGTTTGTCCATTTTTAACCCAGCATTTTTTAGAGTGTATGACTAACATGGCAACTATGTAAAATCCTAACGTAAAATTAATTTATACTGAACTAAAACAACAAACCCAGCCTCCTCGATTAAGTCCACTACATGCCGTAAGTGGATTCCTACTTGCGTCTCATTTTGTAACATTTGCTAAACTGATTTTAAATAGCAAAAATGCTAAATACATTCTAAAAAATGCTGGGTTAAATATAACCCAGCGCTGGGTTAAAAAGGGACAAACCCAGCTATTGGGTTGTTTTGACCTAGCGGTTGGGTTCAAAACATCCCAACCGCTGGGTCAAAACAACCCAATAGCTGGGTTTGTCCCTTTTTAACCCAGCATTTTTTTAGAGTGTAGGCATAAAAAGAACCACAAAAGTAAAAAAGTTTCAAACTTTTAATTGTCGCCATTAATTAGGTGTAACAAACACAGAAGACATCAAATATTCTTTAGTTTAAATAAGACCCCTTTTTCCATTTGTTTTTGCATGAATAGAAAATGAAGGCTCAAACTATGATGACCAAAGGACACAGAATCAGTCATACTCAAACTAACTCAATCTATGGTTACCAAATTCATTAGAAATCTCTGGATCCAAACAAACATTTAAAGAACAGTTTGTGTTTGGAAGTATAATATACATTGTGGATTTCAGAACACAAGTTATGCATTATGGGATGCAGACTACCTCCTGGCAAACCCCATCACACTGTACGGAGAAGACTTTGCATCAACATATAAAAGGTGCAGAAAACACATTTGAGGTCTAATACACAACATGCTAAGAGAGGTACTGGTTACACTTAAGCTGTGTAGAGGTGAGTATTGACGCTACAGAGACGAGACAAAACCATTTCAAAGATCAAACATACACAATTATGTCAATACATGTTTGACCAGACTAAACAGGAATAATTCAGAAGACAGATTGCATTGTAACATATCAGTGCAAAAGCCTTTTCAAGTCAATGTTACTGTATTAGAAAAAAAAAAAAAAAAAACTTTTTTGCATTCGTTTTCCATCCTTTTCGTCCTCTTTATCTTTGAGTGGGTAATGAGGTTTCAACGCTTGGTAGATGAAGCAGACTGGCTTCCTCCCTGAAAAAGAGACTATTAATAAACACAAACTACATTTTAATAACGATGTCACATGTTCATTACTGATGAAAAATGCTGTTACCAATTTGAAGATCCGGGTTAAGGTATCTCCACGTCCCTTCTGGCCTTTGGTGGAGCTCTGTGATTTCTGCTCTCTCTGTTAATAAAGCAGATAGTGTTGTGCATACTGTGGTTTTTCATTTAGAGGTGTTTTCATATCTCCAAAATTGGAGAAAATCATTTTGTCAGTGTTTCAGAAGTCTGAGACAGGCTGAATAACAGTTTTTCGCCAGAACAGTGAGTTATAAAAAAAACAGCCCCTGATGAAAAGCAAATTGATGATAATGAAAAATAAATTCAAAGTAACAAAGCTACTGATTACTAATAAAATACTATAAAAATATATATACTATGTATGGGACTGAGGTAGTGGGAGTTTGCTGTTTCCATGATAACTGAGTAAAATCTAATTGTGAATTCAAATCGAATATATAAATCACCTAAAGCATAATGTTAACAAATTTTTGAAAGGGAATAGCTGTCCACCTCAGAAGACTGAAACTTACCCTAGATTTGGGGGTAGAGGGAGAAACCTAATTGGGGGGAAAAGCAAAATCCAATGAAAATAAATTTTTTAAAAACTATTATTGATTCTGTCTTTCAGTGTTTTCATTTTTTGGTGTAGTGTGAGAGGGAAAAAGGAGGAAAGAGAGATACGAACAATGGTTCTGAAAAAGTGCATGACAGCATTCTCATCTGGACGGCGACGAGGAGATGCGCTCGATCTTTGAGGTGATGCAGACAAACCACCACGAAAAGACCCCTGTGTTGAAGAGACGACATTTCTGATCATTAAACATTTAATCAAAACTGTACCTTCAGACTAAAATGTTTGATCTAAACTTTTAAAGACAGAAGGAAAATAGGAAATTGGGGAAAATGCATAGGGAAAATACTTCCATAACCAAGGCTGATGAAAAAGTGGGCCTACTGTATTATGAATACTGTACATTTTTGACATACCTCTTTTCACATTTCACATACTGTTTTTCACTTATGTAGTAGGGAAGATTGCATATTTCAATACATCCTTCACCTCCCTCCCTCTTTATTTCATAACAGTATTAGTCTGCATATCAATGGTTCAAGCTTCCATTGCTAGCTCTAAAATGACGTTTTGAAATTAGCAACAGAGGATTGGAATGAGATGCGTAAGAAATTAGTTCAACACATAAGAGTGTTTTAAGAACAAAAACCTGACAAATGTCTTCAAGAAGAAAAAAAAACATCTGAACATTGTCTAAAGGTGTGGTAACCCTCCGGCTACTAACGTAACCTCAGTTCCCTGACATAAGGGACACTTGTGGGAAACTCCTGTTTACTCTGATACTGAAGCATGATTTGTTCACGTTCGTGTAACTGCATGAAACAATGGCGCTTCAACCCATTAAAAGGGTAGGAGCTGACCACTATATAAGTTGGCTCTGAGTGCCATTTCATGAGAATCTTTCGACTGAAGTGACAGTCATCGATTCGCATGCAGCCTTATAGCATGGCAGCCTACGCAAAGCTCGTTCCCTTATCTCAGGAAACCGATGTTACGATAGTAACCGGGGCCTTCCCTTTGAACGGTCTCTCCTGTTGCATCGCTGACACTTGTGGGGAACACATCCTATAGCACCTTTTGGCACATAGCCATGTCTCAGTTTGAAGATGACTCTACAGTCGTTAGGCCCAAATTCAAGACAGGAAGCACTGACTGACAGTGCTTGCAGGTCACCCATTTGCTTGATGAAAAAGTCGGCACAGTATGATGGCCAGGCGGATTCAATCTCCGAGCTCCCCTCAGAAACTTAACGATTAGGTCATTTCTGCCAACTGACTGTCCAACCACAAGAGAATGATTCGCCACGATGGCTGCCACACATACTTTCAGCAAGAAAGGGGAGCACCCCTTATCCGCCAGCTCTTGTAGAATGGTTAGCACGTATGACACGTCGCACGATGACGGGTCCTAGTTCCATGCTGCACACCAGTCAGAGAAGACCAACCATTTAAGGGCATAAAGACGTCTAGTAGACTGAGTTCTAGCCTCTAAAATGGTATTAGTTACACTCATGGGGAACTGCAAAGGCTCCTGTCAAGGGGCCAAACATGAAGGCTCCTTAGCTCTGGCCGGGGATGCCAAAACATGCCCTTTGCTTGCGAGAGAAGGTCCCTCCTCAGTGGTATCGGCCAAGGGGCTGCTGATAGCAGCTGAATCAACTCAGGGAAACACATCTGATTCCTCCAGAGTGGGGCCACCAAGAGGAGTGAGCATCTGACTTCTCTGACCCGTCTGATGAGGAAGCATGGCAACTGGGGGGGGGGGGGGAGCGCTGGGCCAGTCGTGGGCCAGGGCATCTCACTGCTTTGAAAAATAAATTGGGCAGTGAAAGTTCCAAGAGGTCCATCTCTGCCCTGCCGAAGACAGACCAGATCATTTGAACTGTTTGAGAATGTAGTCTCCATTCTCCTGAAGCCACATTGTCCCTGGACAACATGTCTGTCCCTTGGTTCAGTCTGCCCGGCACATGAACTGCTCTCAGTGAGAGGAGTTTGCCTTGTGCCCATAATAGGAGGCGTCGAGCCAACCTGTGAAGGGAGCATGACCTGATACTGCCTTGGTGATTAATAAAGGCTACCACTGTCATGTTGTCCGAACGGACCAGGACATGGTGCCACTTTAAGGCTGGTAGGAAGGTTTTTAGGGCTAGAAAAACAGCCATCATCTCGAGGCAGTTGATGTGTAAGCA